AAAACATGAAATTTTGCAATAATCTTGCGCCACCCTTGCACAAAACGACGATAATTTTTCTAATTTCATAGACAACAGAAGACTGTATTTTTTCTGACTGAATCTAAAGCTGGATCCGCCCCTGATTGAACATTATTTATATCCGTTTGCTAACACTGTGGCCATCTGGCCACATTCTAATGAACACACTGCAGTTTTCGACTTCTTCAGTTTCGAAAAAACGTCTTACTTCTGTTCAGGAACACTAAGTTGTTTCAGGTATTAAAACGAGGTGCCACTGGCTGTTCTTAACTTAGAGTATCCTTTAGTTTATTGTTTTTTTTTTATTTTTACACCACATAAAGACATACATTTTGCTATTATTGTCAACATTTATTGCTTTACTTTTTATTGCTGTTATGATTTTAACAGACATTCTCTGTTTGATGTCTGCAATGTCTCATTTCGAAACATGCAAACGTTTTACTCAGCAACCTTAACAAACCCAAACTTTTTTTGCCAAAAATCGGTTGTTTATTTACCAGCTGCAACTAGAGATCAACGATGTCTGTTTCTACACTTCACAAGCTCCCTTTTGCGTGATGTTCACCGTTCCTCGTATGTCGGTTACCTGTTCACCACTGCACTCCCCAAGCTGCAAAATATTTATTTATGACTATTTAATTACATATAATAATCAGGTGGGATGCAAAATTACCGCATTGTCCTGTCGGCGGATTTTCCCGTAAAAATGCACCTTCTCCTGTGTGTACGTGCGATAGTTGGGTCCCACTTCGGCTAGTAGATGCGTCGACTCTGCACTGTCCTGGCCACTATCGCTGTTCCTCCAAGAATCGCTCATTCCGCTGTCCGAGCCCACCTCTCCGCCTGCCCACGTCGAATTGAAGGTGAAGAAAAAGAGCGCCACTACAGCCTGAAAAAGCCCCTGCAACGGCCCATTTCACTCTGATTATTCACCCAAATGTACCATAAAGAAAGTGCCGGTTGCCATCACAGTGGCCGAGACCGGAAAGCCGTAATGCTCCAAGAGGGCTCCCCCAACAGCCGGACCAATCACCTCTCCTAATGAGTACATGCTGGACCAGACGCCTGCGACCACACTGTAGGTTGTGATTGAGTCGCTGCAGCCCCCCAGTCTGTAACAAGTTTCACTAAATTGTCTGTTTAAGTACAACCCCGACATGCTTACATGGCACTGTTTAAGACTCCTTGAAACGTAGGCATTAGAGCCAGAGCGACGGAAATCCCTAGGGTGGACAGAGCGACCAAGTTCAGCCATAGAGAGCTGGAAGCAACAGAAAATCAGCTCAGAAGGCGATGAGTGGGAGTGGAGCTTCTTGCCTCTGAAGCCTTGGAATGTAGGGGCTGGGCCCCAGCAGCAGCAGCCCAACGGTGGAGGTGAACAGACCAACAACCATCATAGACCAGTGGTTGTTGCATTTGTCTGCCAACCAGCCCCATACTGGACTGGACAGGCCATACAAGCCGGAAAAGAGCAGGAATATCAGGCCGACCTTAGCCGGCGTGAGATTGAACTGAAAAGAGAGAGTTAGTTGGGTGCGGATTAGCGAGTCCTGCTAACCCCCACCTGCCGCAGGTGCGGCTCCAAAGTGGGGTCCAGGAAAGCCCAAGTGCTCGATACCACAACAACCACCATGCCAGTGACGAAAACTGCAGGCACCTTGATTAGGCTGAGGACTGTAGTCTTCTTGTTGGTCACATTTTCGAAGTCTGCAGGCCAGGACCAGTAAGGACGAGACAACGTTTTTTCCAAGAACTTACCCACGATAACTGGCATTAACCACATGTTCAACGGCACCATGCTGATCATCGCCACACCGAGAACGAAGAACGGCAGACTAAAGCCGCCTAACTATCTGGAACGAACCCGAAAACAAATTGAGAATGTTTTAGATGCGCATTCTTTTGGATCTTATACCGAATACAAGAACCCACCCAGCACAGGTCCGGTGCTCATTCCGAGCCCCACGAACGTCTCTAGAATCCCCTAGAACAACTCACTGATGAGGCAAATGTTGGGAAATGGTTTGCTCACTTACAATGACTGAGCCGATGTTTTCCGGAAAAGTATTTACAACGAAGACGTAGCTGGCGGTGGAGAACGCGCTCGAGCCCAAGGCCTCGAACCCTCTCACTATGAGACACAAGCTAGTGAATGTGGCGTAGTCCGACACATAATCCAACATTCTGGAAGCAGGGGGGTTTAAGCCAATCCAGACACTGTCGAATTAAATGGACTTACCCGAACAATAAATTACAGGCGCCCGCCACAAACATACCGACGAGGAACAGTAGCTTGGCGCCAACTTTGGGTAGCTGAAAGGCGACCAGTAGAAACTAACTGGGGTTTTGTGGCAGCCTCAACTTACAATTTTGCCGAAAATCGGCGAAGTTATGAACATGACCAAGGCGTAGAAGCTGAAGACTAAGCCCGACATGGTGCTCGACACTCCCTTCAGGGCCGCCTCTTTTGGAAAGTACGGAGCCATAATGGACATCGAGCAGAAGCAAAAGAAGTCGACCAAGGCAAGCATTCCCAAAGTGACTTTCTGCATCCGCGTGAATCGTTTGATTGTGGCTGGTTCCACGCGGGAATTGGTGCTGAGGAAAGTGAGTTTTAATTGGAAAGATTTTCGTGTTATCACTCTTATGGGGATTTTCTACTCACCGCAACAACCTCTCTTTGATTCTTGCGATTTCTCCCGGTGTGTAATCGACCATCCTAATGTTGGACATGGACTTACTTCGTCGATGCCCCAGGTAATCCACTGGGTCCGCATTGCTGCAACTGGGGGACGAAAACTTCGAATTGCCGCTTTCCGGTGATGGCGAAGACATTTCCTCCATATAATCGGCAACGCTGTGTTAAGGACTCGTCAATGACCAAAATTTAAACTAGGTTTCACACATCCCAGATAGCATTTGATATTCTATGAATATCCCAGAATGTTCAAAAAATATACAGAACATTCCGGGAATATCCTGGGAATATACCGTATATGTATGTTCATCAAAGTTCATAAAAAGTATATCCTAGGTATGTACATATATGTACATATTGTGTATGTATATGAAACATATGAAAACATTCTTCCGCAGAACTGAACAGGTTCTAATGAGAACAGTGTAAGCGTTCAAGCAAACCACTTCTGAAGATGTAAGCCACTCGTGCTTGCGAAACCTCAGGAAGAAATTCTACCGAACGACGGCCCAAAAACCCTGAAAAACCCATTAGTTTCATGGAATGGCCTCGAAAGTCTGTCTCTTATTGATATGGTTCCTCTTGGATTTTAATTGTAACGATGAGTCTTTAATGGTCATACTTGTGATAATCGCTTCTTTAATAAAAAAAACCGTTTAATAATGAACGCTGATTTTTTTTCAAACAAACTAAAACAGCGTAAAAAACAGTAAAAGTGCAACCCAAATCAGGTCCAGGGCAGTTTGGCAATGTCCTTGCAACGATTTGGCGGTTTGAAGCAATGCTGCAGACAAGAACAGGCATATTCCGACGGGAGAGAAACGCAGCTGGAGCGATCAATTTGTCTCGCTTTGTTTATTGCGCTGTGCGGCTGCACCGACAAGGACAGGTATAGACAAATTTGCTGTGTGCAGTCTGGCGTCGCCGAACTCGCCCAGAAGAAAACAGAAAAACCATTTAAATCCCACAACCAATTAAATTGGCTCTTATAGAAAAAGTTGGGTCCTAGTTAAACACAAATCAAATAAATTTCAGGATTAGGCAATTCGATTCACTTTCCCGGTCTAACTTAAACATCAAGTTTCATCAACAGAGATAGACTTTCGCGGCCATTCCTTGAAACTAATGGGTTTTTCGGGTTTTTAGG